ACATAAAAGGGTACGGTCTTTTTTTTTTTTTTTTTTTAGTTTTATTCATTTCAAACGGGCCGAATCCGGCCAGCGGGCCGTAGTTTGCCCACGGCTGGGTTAGCATCTCCTATTAATCAGCTGTGTCAAATCCTGGAGAGGTTAGCCTGGCCATTGTGGCTCAGTGTTGAGCATCGATCTATGAACCAGGAGGCCATGGTTCAATTCCTGGTCAGGGCACATGCTTGGGGGTGAGCTCTATCCCCAGGAGGGGGCATGCAGGAGGCAGCCATTCAGTGATTCTCTCTCATCATTGATGTTTCTATCTCTGGTTCCCTCTCCCTTCCTCTCTGAAATCAATAAGAAAAATTTTTTTTTTGTAAATTAAAAAGAAAACCAGGAGAGGTTACTTATTGGGAAGTGAGAAATGGGATGAGAATAAAGGGGGGAAAGACTGGACTTGGTGGTGAGATCTTGGGCCCTTTGAAATGGCAGTGCTGGAGTTAAAGGTGAGGGTAAACCACATCATTATGGGTTATGGGGGTGAGGGGAGGGCGGTGGGATGGGGGCGTGAAGAGCATTAGGAAATGCAGGGACAGCCATGAGAGAAGCTCAACCTCAACACCACGCCACGGGCCCACATGGGTATCCCCAACGGGACCCACCCCGTCCTCTCCTTGGAGCCACTGTCCTCTGCTCTGAGCCACCGGCTTTCCCTGCAGTGGCCCAGAGGCTCACATTGCTTCCCACACTGGGTTTGTCCTCCCTCTCAGCAGCGGTGGGAGAAAAGGGGCTCCTTCTTTCTTTGATGCTCTTGAACTCTCTTGATTTCATGGAGTTTATTACCAAAGATGAGCAAACAAGACAACCAGAAGGTCAACAACAATAATGAAAATGACAACAAATCTGAACTAAAATAGGGAGCAATTAAATTTCCAAAGTCTTGACAGACTACTAGAATCACAATCCTGACTCCCTGCTAAGAACTTGCTTTTCATTTTCCTTGTAAAGGTGACTGTGACCTGACTGCTTTGTTTTTGCTCCAAGGTAGCCCTCCTCTCCTTAGAAGCCTCCCTCCAGGACAGAAGAAACCGTCAGGGACTAGCAATACGAGTAAATGCCTCTCAGGGCATCATAGCCAATAAGATCAAGAGAAATGTTTCTTAAAATTGAATATTTTTTTAAGTTCACACAATAAATATATGAGGGGTCATTACACTATTATCTCTACATTTTTGTGTATGTTTGAAATTTTCCATAATAAAAAGTTAGGGAGGAAAAGCCCATAGCTGCAAGAATGTACAACTTAAGGAATGTGCTGAAATAATAATTTTTTAAAAACACACAAATGTTTTTGATCTGATGTTTCCTGAAAACAAGGTCCCCAACTAATTCTGGTGGAAAAAGAAAAATTAAGGATACTTTATAGGACCAAAAAAAGACTGTTTTAAAAAAACACATGTAGAAAGAGATAATAAAAAGAACAAAGTACTTATGTTCTAGGGCAGGTTATAAAAAACTCACTCAAAACACATGCTTTCTCAAGCCCTAGCCGGTTTGTCTCAGTCGATAAGAGCGTCAGCCTGCGGACTAAAGGGTACTGGGTTTGATTCTGGCCAAGGGCACATGCCCGAGTTGCAGGCTGGATCTGCCCAGTAGGGAACATGCAGGAGGCAGCCAATCAATGATTCTCTCTCATCATTGATGTTTCTATCTCTCTCTCTTCCTCACTGAAATCAATAAAAAATATATTTTAAAAAAAGAAAAAAAGAACAAATGCTTTCTCAAATTAAAGGGATTGAGATGAACTAATTGCTTAAAACAAAGAGCTATAAAATAATTACTATATTTTCAAAGGCACTTCAAAATAAGGGTGCATTTAAATATTTTTTAATTAAAATATTCCAAATATTTTAAATTTTATATTATTTTTTCACCTAGTTTAGAAATAGAAGAAAATGTTAAATGTTCTCTATTCATTATTTATCCATCCGTTCATTTATTCACTTAACAAAAATGTGATGAATGACAAGCATATGTCACACAACAAGGATGTAAAAATGAGCCAAACCAGATGGGGTCCCTGTTCTCCTGAAACGTAGGCAAGAGAGAGAGACATTAAATAAACAAATGAACAAAGTTTATTACAGATAACATACAATAAGAGTAAAGTCGATTCTCATTATTCAAGATTGGTACAGTTTATAAAGTCAACATTAACACTGAATTAGTGAATATTGAACTACTGGTCCCCCAAACTTTAATCCAGGGTCAGCAAACTATGTTCCCTGGGACAAACCCAGCCTGCCATGTGTTTCAGATCGAACTACCGATTTAGAGGACATATAGGAGACAAAGGCCCCTACTACCTGACATCACAGAATGTAATCAGCAAAATCAGAACATACAACCTTAGACGTCGCCTATTTTTTTTTCCATACTGCCCAGTTCTTGCCTTACTGTTTCCACACCTTCATCTCCTTGAATATTATAAATCTAATTTTTTTCCCATCGTGTCCATCATTTTTTAGTTTAGGGATACAAATCTCCCATTTGCTAAATCTGCCAAGTCTCCTTCCTTGTGGTTCACTTCCTTATGTAGTTTGTATGAAGTAAACGTTGTGAGCTCATCTTCAGAAAGACTGCTGTCTACAGGACTCCGTGTTCCCTGAGCTGCAGAAACTTCACTGCAGAGAGGTTTTCCATGCGTCTCTGCCCAGACCTGGGTTTCAGAGGTGCCAGTTAATATGTCCATTTTGGGGATTGGGATCCCTTAACCATGAAGTAATATGGATTCAGGCCTCAGACGTGTGCTGTACAGGATCTGAAGCTCCATCTAGTAGCTGACTCCTTTCCTAGTGCAAGTGGATGGCCAGCTTCTTCAGACCAATGGAGAGCATTTTTCTGGTTATCATCTCAATGTCAAGGTTCTTATGGCCGGTTGCATTTTTCAAAGAAGAATGCACTAATACATATCCATCCCCACATGTTCTTCCTTCTGTGTAATGTCGACACTCCTCCTTCAAGAGGTGAAACTAATTTCCTCAGTCAATACGATGTAGTCAAAGAGCCTGTGTGATTGCCAAGGCGAGTTCATAAAACATGGCTCTCAGAATACTCACCTTTGAACTCCAGTCGCCATATTGTGAGGAAGCCAGGTGGCAGGAAGAGGCCCCACTAAGATCTGTTCATAGCAGCATCAACCACGGACACAGGAGTGAACAAGCCCCAAATCTTCAAGTCCTCCACTGGAGGCCCCAGACGTGGGGAGGCAGAGCCATGCTGACTGTCCTGTGCACTGTCCGAATCCCTGACCCACAGAATCCATGAGCACAGCCAGTGGTTGTTTTCCACTACATTTTGGAGGGCTTTGTGATGCAGTCATGGTAATAGGAACAGTATTCCTTTGTGATTCCCAGCTTTCGGCAGATGCTCAACAGTGGCTTCCTCGGTGAACATGCCTTCATGTATGGCACCTGGGCATTTCTTTCTCTTGCTTCCTAGCCCAGCCACCTACCCATAAATTACCTTATTATATTTACCCCACATTGGAGATATAATGAGGCAGAATGGAGTCTTCTTCATGTCAGCTCACTCTGTCCAGAAGTTCCCAGAATAATTTTTCGAATGAAGACATAAAGAACTGAAGAATTTATTTTATGTACAAGGATACTTAGGAATAAAAATTAAAATGAACCTTGTAGAGAGTATATTTATTAAAGAACAGGTAACTTGTTACAGAAAAAAAAATAGAAATGGTGAATAAAGTTCATCCTCAGTAGTGCTACAATAAAAGCAATATAATGAGCTGTAACTTTTGCCAAATGAATGGCAAGAATTTTTTCTTTACTACTCAACAGTGTAAGATGGGTTTCAAGGAACTAGGCACTCTCATAGGTTTCAGTATATGCATTTTTTAAATCCTCACCCAAGGAGTGAGAATATTTTTTCCATTGATTTTTAGAGAGTGGAAGGGAGGGAGGAAGAGGAGAGGAGAGGAAACATCAGTGTGAGAGAGACACATTGATTGGTTGCCTCCCACACATGCCCCAACTGGAGGTGGGGATCAAACCTGCAGCCCAGATATATGCCCTTGACCGTAAATCAACCCTGCACAAAACAACGCTCTAACCACTGAGCATGCCAGCCAGGGCTAGTAAATGCATTTTTATAGCATTTCCAGATAGCAATATGTATGCCCTTAAAATTTTATGTATGTCTGACCCAGAAATTCACTTCCAGGAATTAATCCTAAAGGAATAATCATTGACACACACAATATTTATCTTCAAGAATGTCAAATTCTGTATTTTTATAATAAAAAGAAAAAAGGCTGAAAATAATCCAAACATCAAACAGCAGATGGTAAGATTAACTTGAATTTTAGCTTTGTTTAAACCAAAATAATTATCAAGTAAACACCAAGAAAGACAAGCCATAGATTCATTAAGAAAGCTGGTTATTTATTTATCCATGCCAGTCATTGCCCTAGAAGCTGAAGCACAAAAATGATGAAGATGCAAAAGCCTACAGTGTACTGAGGGGAACAGAGTAATGATTACAGTTCGTTGTGGTAACCACTCACGATAAAGCTGCGGTGCTACAGAGCCTTTGCTAACCTAACTGAGTGTGCGAGTCGGAGAGTTTTGCTTCTGATTTTAAGCAAGGACGTCAAGCTAAGTGCCACAGGTTTTGATAAGAAGAAATGAACTGTGGCAGAACAGGCTGCATGCCTACCAGAATTCTTGCTCCTCCGGAAGCAAGAATTGTTCTGGGAAGTGCCTGCCTCCCTGAGATGGGAATGTGAGAGAATGCAAGCTTCCTTTGTGCAGGAAGCTTTTATGAAGCAGGTCTAACCTTCTCCATACTCTTTCCTTCCCTTTCTGCTGGCTGCAGCTAGACCAGAGCAAATTGCTCGTGAATGGCAGAGCCTGGATCCTACTACTTATGGGAAGAAAGCAGCCTGCTGATCAGGAACGCCAAGTGCTCTAGTAGCATCATTTTGTTTAAAGTCGTTTTGTGTGCTCGCTTCAGCAGCATATATACTAAAATTGGAATGATACAGAGATTAGCATGGTTCCTGCACAAGGATGACACCCAAATTTGTGAAGTGTTCCATATTTTTTTGGGGGGGAGGGAATAGTTGCTTTGTTGTAACATAAATGAAAACAACTCGATTCTGGCTGGGGCCACTGTCTGTGTGGGGTTTGCACATTCTCCCCATGTGTGCGTGGGTTTTCTCTAGGTCTCCCATGTTCCTCCCACATCCCAAAGACGTGCACATGAGATAAATGAGGACGTACTCTATATGTTAAATCACTTAAATGTTGAGGTCTGTTTGTGACTATAGCTAACAATACACTAATACATGCACTCTTTTATTCCCAAGTGAATGTATTAGCTCACCTACTCAAATATATTCACTAAGCATGTACTACGTGCACATGCGTGTGCCAGGTGCTTCATAAACACAAAGATAAACTAAATAGAGATCCTGCCTTCACAGAATTTCCTGTCCTAAAGGAAACACAATAGCCATTCATACAGCTACAACATGAGGCGAAGTGTGAAATCACAGCCCAAGGGGTGATACATACATAACGCCTCATATTAGAGGAGTTAAAAGACAGGAGATGTGACCTTCACAAGGAGGTTCAAGACTTAGGAGACACTAGAAAATGACATTTATATAAAATTCAAACAGGCAGAAATGTGGGTAATGACATTCCTGGAAAGATACAGGTGTGAAAAGATGCCATGGAAAATGGAGACATGGTTCAGGTAAAGGCATCCTGAGAAACAATGAACTGATGGACCGGAGGTGGGGGGGGGGGGTGAAGAGGGGGGGGCGGAGCATAGACACATCCGAATGCCGAATGCCGTTTGTGCTTTCTTCCCGGAGCAATAGGAGGGCACAAAAGGGCCTTGCACTGAGCTGTGGCAGAGGCTGGGGCAGTTAATACAATAGCCCAGGGTGCTTACATTAGAGTAGCAGCAGTGAGAATGCACAATTAACGACTGATTGAGAGTAGGAGGTTCAGCAAAGAAAAGGGATTTAAAATTCTAGGTTGACTAAGAATTATGGAACCATGAATTAAATTCAAAGAGAAAGAGCTGGCCCGGGGCTGGAGGGCAAGGAACTGTTTTAGATACCACGAGTCTAGAACCTCCAGTAGAGCTATAACCTGGATTTAAGCTACAGGAGTTGAAGACTATAGGTCTGGCTGGGAGATGAAAAATTTCAGTTATCTATTTACTGGTGAGAAGTGAGGCTGGAGACTAGATTAATGTTGCCAAAGGAGATTTGAGAGAGAGAAGCAAGCCAGATTTCCTCAAAATATACACAAGGCAGGAAGATAAAGGCAGAGAAGTGAGTGGAGAGGCAGAGGAAACAGAGGAATCAGAATCGCAGGAAGCTTTGGACCATGTCCAGTTTGATAGAAGTATAGAAAAGAACTATCAGTAATACTGTAACATCAAATACACAATCACATCTAATCCCCAAACAACTCAATGAAACAATTCCGTTACTGATCCAACAAAGAACACAAGCACTGGAATAAAATGAACTTGGATTCTAATCTTGACTCTGACTTTGCCCTTTAATAGCTGCATAACTATAGGATCATGAAGTAAAAAAATAATAGTGCCTGTGATTTGCATTGTATTAGTGAGGATTAACGCCCCACTCCACTCTGCCTCGCCGGCTAGGATTAATTCTAAAACGTGTGCAAAGTGTTCAAAGCCGCACTGGACATGTAATAAACACTCAGCAAGAGAGAGCTATTGCTTTGTTTTTAAATGAGAAACATAGGTTTTTCCAAACACAGCCTGCTGATGGAAATGTCAACCCGTAAAAACTTTTAAGAAGGCAAGATTCCACCAACATTTTTTTTCACCAACATATTTTAGTGTACATATGCCTGACCCAGCAATTCTGCTTCAAGAAATCAACTTTGTAGAACTATTCCCAAGTGTAAGAATGTTCATTGTTTGTAATAAGGAAAAATTGGAACCAACCTTAATGCAAGATGGTTATATAGACTGATACATCTATACCACATGATCACACATCTATCTATATGATACATCTATGAAATATTCAATGCCGACCCATACAAAAGATATGATAGGCATCTGCCATATCCTCGTAAGTGAAAAAGGTAATTTCTCAAAGGAATCCATACATGATTCCACTGATGATATATTATGATGCAATTTCAAAAATGTAGGAACTTAAAAAGGAAATGTCAGAAGTATTTTTGAAGGAAAGCCATTGTAACTGGAGATTTAACTCACCATTAGCAACGTGGGTAGAAAGTCAGTAAGATGAACAGAAAGGATTCCGGAGGGGGAAAGTCAGTAAGAGGAGGAGGACACAAATGCCCAGAAATGGGTGCAAAATTGCGTTTGTCTAGAAAGAGGCTCCACAGTTTTCATGTCTCATCCCAAAAGGTTGTAGGGGAAGTGACTGGTACAGAACAGACGCCGAGCATCACACAAATCTCTTCTAGTATTTTCAACCCCTCATGAAAACAGTAATCAGCTCAAATTACAGGTAAATCAGAAATGGTACAAAGCAAAATCCGCAATGAAAATGGGGCCAGAGCTTTCTAATGAACACAATTGGCATCGCAAACCTGCTCCATCCACGTGGCCCCGTGCACGTGCGGTGGTGGACAGTAAACACCCCCCCCCCCCCCCCCGCACCGCGCATGCGTCTGCTGGTGGGATGTCTGAGGGTGCTGGTCTGTTCCAGAAAGGGGGTGGGGGCGCAAAGGTACAGATCAGGTGGTGGTCCTCCCTGGCTTCACTCCCATCTCAGCCCCGCCCTCCCTGGCCTCCCCGCCCCGGTCCCCTGGAAAAGAACTCTAGGAGTGACCCACGTGCCTCGTGCCTCGCCAGGCTAGTTCTCCCTTCCCGGGGGGAGGTCGGGCAAGGTCCCTGGGCCCTCAGGCCGCCCACACTCACTGTCTCAGCAGCTCCGTGGAGTGAAGGGGCTTCCTCGCCTGCCGGGCCCAGGGTGGTGGCACCCAGATCTGAGTCTGGGGCATTGGAGGCATTGCAGCCAGCGGGGGCAGCGGGCAGCTCGGGAGCCGGCGGCGGCGCACTGCGGGACTGGGCCGGCCGGGCCGCCGCAAGCTAACGGGGCCGCCGCTCTCGGGGCGAACATGCTGGGCTGCGGGCAGCCCGATGATGTTCAGGAGAGGGGAGCGCCCGGCCCAGCCCACAGCGGCCCGGAGGCTGCAGCGCTGCCGGCCAGACGCGCCCCTGTTGCCAGGCGCCTGCAGCTTCCGGCTGCCCTCCCTGCTGTCGCCCGCCGCCATCCCTGCCGTCCCTCTGGGAACCGAGCTAGGAGGGGGCTTGGGCAGCTGGGAGACACCCTACCCCGCCCCCGGGGTCACAGATAAAGGGGTCGGAGTGGAGGGACGGTGGCGAAACAAGGCTGGTGAACGAATCAGTCCTGAAACAGGGTCATAGGGGCAGGAAAAGTGCACCCAGCTACAGGTGGGTGGTGGGCAGTTGGACTAGGCTGGCGATGCGCAGTCCTAAGTTGCATTTTTAAGATTCAAACTACCAGGGTCCCAGAGTACTGATGAGTCTGGACCTTTCAAACACCCCAGTAATACCTGACTAGTCCCGTCTTAGGTAAGTGACAGAATCACCCCGAACTCCCTCCCCCTCCGCCGGAATTCCATGTTCTAGGCTTCCTTTGTCTGGGTTCCTTGGCGAAGGCTTACAGGTGTCCTCTCCCTAGCAAGGAGGCTGCCTAGCACCCTGATCTGCACCGGGCCTTAGCTATACTCCTGACCCCACAATAGGCTGCAGATTTGGCCCTGGTAAAATGGTTTCAGATCCCACAAAATTCCTGAAACTGCTCTTAAACCCACTTTTCTGTTTTCATTAAGCTTGATACGAACTTCTAGTTCCTGGGTTAAGAAAACCAACTCAAATTAGACCTGGAACCTAATACTAGCCCCAGCACTCAATGTAGTTGTGTGATCCTGGGGTGGGTGGGGGGGGGGAGGAGTTAACTCATCCAGAAAATTGGGATAGTGGTATATTTACCTAGAGGAATAGCCAGGGGAAAATATTTGGGGCCAAAACCAATTAGGAACTCAGTTCTGGGGCTGCACTCAGAAGTGGAGAACCATGGACCTATGATTATGTGCATTAAGTGTACACTCCACTCAATTCGTGATCGAATGTTCATTAACTGGCTGCTTTTAAGTCTTGCTATCACATGCTCTTGGCTATCACCACCCCTGCCCCCAGCTCTGTGCCAACTCCAGGCCTGACTCTTACTGTTTTATAACCAGGTACCCAAATCCTACCAACCTATGTGAAACTTCCAATCCTCACAGTGGAACCATCTCTATATTCTCCTAACATGTTGTTATGTTTTCACTTACTATTATCCCTAGACAATAAAACTCATGCATCCACAATCCAGCCCCCACTCTTTTCACCATTCCCCATCCAAACACCCAAGGACTACATGTGCCAACTGGAGATACATCATTTTAAATGGCTATTGCCCTTTAAGAGGGTTAACTCAAAGCAGCAACTGGCATGGGATGCGCCAGGCATTGTAAGGACTAGAACAGAGGACGAGGTGACTCAAAGAGAAGTTAATGGAGAGTTTTATCAAACAGTAAGAGATGCTATGAAGAAAAACATTCTATGAAGAGGTGTGTCAGAGGAGACCTTTTACCCAAATGAAAAAGTCAAGTACACAGACCTGAGGGCAGTGTTCCAGACACAATGTTACAAGTGCCGAGACCCTACATCAGAAGCTTCTCATTTACGAGGAACAAGAAAATATATAGCCGGGAGCCATGCTAAAGATGGCCCTTCCAAAGATTTCCGTCCTATTTCCTGGGACCCGAGGACATGCTACCTTATGCAGGGACTTTGCAGATGAGCCAGAATTAAGATATTTGAGATGGGAAGACTACCCTGGATTACCTGGATGGCCCAATGTAATAACCACGGTCCTTGTAAGAGGGAGGCGGGAGGAGCAGAGCCAGAGGTGATGGCAAGATGGAAACAGATGGCACGCTGAAGATGAAGGGGTGACGAGCCAAGCAATGCAAGTAGCTTCTTAAGTCTCCCCTGAGCTTC